CTGGAATTGGACTACATAGGGATGGTCAATAAGCTCAAGTCAAGGTTGAACCATTTGTAGAAGAGGTGAAGAATTTGCAGGTCTCCGGTTCAAGTGCGATGGGATGGATGGTCTGCAAATTAGTAAGAGAAGGTTGATGTAATGAGCTTTTCAGAACGTGGCTTCATAAATTTCTAGGATGTATTAGGAATGCTATGATCTCAGATTTATCCGAGGTCTTCGAATAAAAAGCAACAATTCCATCTAGAAAACCTAGCCCACGTACAGTTGGTGGTTAGTCATCATGGTGCCCTCGCATATTTTGTTTTAGAAACACAATATAGACGGCAGACGCACAAAAGCACACACATTACACTCATTCCTCTATATGCACATATCACACCCTTGCCCCTTATGAGCATGTAAGAGACTGAGCCAACACAAGTTTTGAGATTGACGAGGTCACCACATGCACACTGCCCTCTCCTTGTCTGCCGAGGTACCACTGCTCCTTATCTGCCGAGGTACCACTGCCCTCTTCTTCTTTTGTGGGGTACCATTGCCCTCTTAACCATACAACCACACATTTATTCTCGTGTCCTTGCATATTTAACCTCCTTTGGTAACTTAAAATTGCCATACCCTACAAACTATTAAGTGCGACTCAGTAGTACACTAAACCGTGTGTGCTCCGGTCGCATAACCAGTGAGGTACCAGATGTTTAATCTGCAAAATCCAGATACACAAAGGACATTTCGACAAACAATTTCGTGCAGAGTATATTTTTTCTCCACTTTATTACTGTACTATTTTTAAGGAAAAACAATCAAAAGACATCTTAAATCTGATATAATTGTAAAATAAATACTCCTAAATCAGTAGAGTGAACAGACCACTGTACGCAGAAGGAAGGATGTCATTTATCACTTGCCTAGCTGCCTATATATCTTTCGAAAGCTACCCTAAATAACATTCGAGCGGAAAGCTGGCTCGCTTTCGAGGATCACGATGCGAAGATTCCACGTAGCAAGAGCAAGAGCAGTGGCAGGTGGCGAGCAGTTTCCTCCGGGATGGGTTTTCTTGCACGTGACCGCTAGGCGTGTGGGAGATGTGGACCGCACGACCCGCTGGATATATACTCCTTCTTCTTCTTTTTTTTGAAATGGATATATACTCCTTCGGTTGCTCGTGATACCACTCGACGCATCCTCCGGCCTCCGCCCCCCAAAAAGACACCCAGCCAAATCAAAACTCCAACCACCGTCAGCCAAGCGAACAGCAGCCCAGCACAGGACGCATCCCCGGGGCCCGGCCGAGGCAGGCGGCGAACGAAGCACACAGGAAGCATCCTCGCGACTCTACAAACCTCCAAGCCGTCGCCGCGGTCGCGTCCCCATCCGGTCTTCCCGGCCGCCGTTGCTACAGCAGCCACCGCCTCCACCGCCACCGCGTTCTGATCTGCGGAGATACCCATCTACTACTCTTCAGGCGAGGGCGGAGGGACAGACACAGAGCGGGAGAGAGGCATGGGGGGCGGGCATTCGAAGAGCGAGTCGCGGGGGGACGGGAGCGGGAACGGGAGGTACGCGCACTCGGCGTCCTTCCAGCAGCCGGCGGCGCCGCAGTGGGGGCCGCCGGGGGCAGGAGGGTACCCGTACGGCGCCGGCCAGGACGCGCAGGGCGGCTACTACGGCGCGCCGCCGCAGCAGAGGGGCTACGCCGCGCCGTACCCGGCGTACCAGCCCGCGCCCGTCGCCGCGCAGCCGCCGCCGGCGCGGGCGGGAGCGGCCAACAAGCCGCGCCTCGACAGGCGCTACTCGCGGATCGCCGACGACTTCCGGTCCGTGGAGCAGGTATGTACCCGTGTGTGATTTCGAGTTTGTTGGGATTATTATTAGTTCAAGCAGCGGCTGCAATTTCGCGTGTGTTCGTCTGGATTTGAGTAGATCGGAATAGTGAATTCGTGCGTGGTAGCCGAGTCCCTGGTTTCGCATCTTCGGATTGCTGGGAAGTTGGTGGCGCCGCCGATTTGTGCTTCGTAGTCGGTCAATCTGCAGCCCATTCGAGATTTCTAGAGAGTTCAGCATATGCTCCATTAGCTGGTCAACCGAATTGAGTTCACGCCGAATCGGAACGAGATCACAAGTTAATCTCGTGGTCAACCATCAATCACTGTTGATGAATGATTCCCGCACACGATAATAAAATTGGTTGGTCGCAGCTCACCACAAGAATTATACATGTTTATTGGGTGGTTGCCAACTTGGTAATTATGTTTGCTTGTACTAGTTGGTGTGTGTTGCTTGGTCTTCTCAAACAGGATAATGACCATGAGTGGCAATAATCTATCGCCTCAAGTTCTGGGATGCTCAGTCGCCAAATATATTGTCACAGCGTCGTGCAGTTTGCCTGACAGTGACTGATTCACTTTCCTGATTAAATCTGTGCATCATACTTTCCTATCGGTTTCGCAAGTATGGCCCACTGCATTTCTTACTGCAACTAGTAGCTTACCAATCAGAAGTTTGTTCACCAACTTCTGTTAGGTTCTGGCGTTCTTTCTGTGTACTGGCTTCAGTGTCAATAGTATAAGATTCAGGCACATAAACAAACAATTGATTTTCAAAATTTGGATAGTTAAGAATTGATAATGTGTTTGCAGGTTACTGATGCTCTAGCTCAAGCTGGACTCGAGTCTTCGAATCTCATCGTGGGTATTGATTTCACAAAGAGCAATGAATGGACAGGTTAGTGCTTGTGAACCACCTGTTTGCTTTATTCCCAATAATCGGTTCCACCGATCCTGATGCTAATGATTTGTTCCCTTTATCAGGCAAATTCTCCTTCCATGGACGTAGTTTACATCACATTAGCAATGTGCCAAATCCTTATGAACAAGGAATCTCGATTCTTGGACAGACATTGTCTAAGTTTGATGAAGATAACTTGATTCCCTGCTTCGGATTTGGAGATGGTAAAGATCATGTAATAGTTGATCATTTCTCACCACTGTGACGATTTATCTAAACCATGCCCATTTATTTGCTTTTTTCAGCATCTACACATGACCAAGACGTATTCTGTTTTTACCCTGATGAGAGACCGTGCAATGGATTCTCAGAAGCTCTTGAGCGATACAGGGAGCTCGTTCCACATTTGCGCTTGGCTGGTAAGCTTAAGTCACCCTATTGTCTTTCAAGTAGGTTTGATTGGTGTGTTAGTTCTGAGTATTAATGTTGATTTTGAACAGGACCGACATCTTTTGCACCAATAATTGAGATGGCTATGACCATCGTGGAGCAAAGTGGTGGGCAGTACCATGTTCTGCTGATAATTGCTGACGGACAGGTACTATGTTAACACTTTCCCCTCTTCTGATGGGACATGTAATTGCACAGTTGCTAGTTCTGACTTCTGAGCAGTGGGCATTCTAGACATGCTTCATTCAGAATTGTTGCATTCCAACTGCAAGATGCTTTTTTTTTTGTTCTGTTAACATAGGCATGACTGTTTGTCTGTATGCATATCTGGAGTGCTGTTATGTATAATAATAAACATATAACAGAAGAAAACTTCTATATCTGGTAAAAGCTATATAACTTTTATTTGAAGATCAAACTCCTATATCTGGTAAAAGCTGTATAACTTTTGAAGAACTTCAACTCGATATTTATGTGTTTGCGAAATCGTAATTATTCTCCCAGGATATGTATCCTTCTTTTATTAATCTGAAATATGTACCCTGTACTCTAGTGTCAAACTGTCCTCTTCGCACTTGATCAAATAGTTGATATTTGCGGTTGTCATATTTTCCATGTTCTCTCTGCTGTATAAACCTCGAAACTGGTATGTTCTTTATGTTCTCTTGTTAACTTGTGTACTTTACTTAGGTCACAAGGAGTGTAGATACTGCATCTGGGCAGCTGAGTTCCCAAGAGCAAAAGACTGTTGATGCCATTGTGAGGGCCAGGTTAGTCCTCAATATTACCTTCGTTATAATGTTTTGATATGTTCAGAGTGATGTGCACCTCACCCTCATTTTTGCAGTGACTACTTGCTTTATTGTGTGCACTAAATTTATTGCCCTCCCATGTCATGGATGTTGCTCATCGCTTCAGTTTTTTTGTATGCAGTGAACTGCCGCTATCTATTGTGTTAGTAGGAGTTGGTGATGGCCCATGGGACATGATGAAGGAATTTGATGACAATATTCCTGCCCGGGCTTTTGATAATTTTCAAGTAAGTCACAGGGGAACGTAGTGATAAAAGATCTGATATGATTGATGTCATATGTTTTTCCTTTTCTGAACCTTGACCGACTGACGCCATTGTAACACTGAGAATCTGTTACTTGCCCAGTTTGTCAACTTCTCGGAGATAATGTCTAAAAACATGCCACAATCAAGAAAAGAGGCAGCGTTTGCACTTTCAGCCTTGATGGAGATACCACAACAGTACAAAGCAACTGTTGAATTAGGAATATTAGGGTATATGCTCCCCCACCCCTTTCAAGTGCTTGATTCGTTATTTTTTTTATTCATTCTGAAATATGCACTGACTTCTATCATTGTGGCAAACAGTCGTCGTTCTATGAAGGCTCCAGAAAGGGTTCCTCTGCCTCCCCCTGGTGGAAGCCACGATGCTTATTCCTATGGATCTAAAAGCTTTAGTAAACCTCAGCCTAGTACATCTTCATCAGCGTATCCTCCCTATGAAACAGCACATACTGCGGCCCCTGCCGCACCGTCTTCTGCTTATGATAATCAGGTAAAAGTTTCATCTGTCGTGATTTCAGATGTCGCTTGATCTTGGATTTCCTATTTCCTTATGCAGAAAATTTGCAGTCTCGGTTGTCTTACTAACATATTATTATTACTCATCTGCAGGTGTGCCCTATCTGCCTTGTGAACCCGAAAGACATGGCTTTTGGCTGTGGACACCAGGTGAGTGGATTAGCGCATTTGTTATTGCTTCTTGGGAAATCATTTTCTGTTTTTTGTGCGTGGGTTGAAACGTCGGCGTCAACATCATTTCTAACAAAGCATTTGCTTTGCAGACCTGCTGTGAATGTGGACAGACTTTGGAGTCATGCCCAATCTGTCGGAGTCCAATTACCACCAGAATAAAGCTATATTAGCAAGTGGTGGTTTGGATCATTGCGAATGGGTGGCGTTACTGGAGACCACCACCCCTGCGTCACACTGGACGACGATGGATTGCAAGCTCTCCAAAGCTCGGTCCATGAAGGGCTCGATCGGCTCTCGGAGATTACGCCAGGCATCGGTCTGTGTCGAGTTCTGCAGGGCCGATGAATCCGCCGCCGCTCCAAAGACGGGAGCAGGGGCCGGTCTCGAGTATCTACACCCACCCAGGAATGATCCAAACTCCAGCCGGAGGAAACAGATGCAGGTTTTCAAGGGCTATTGGCATGCGAAAACAACAAAAAAAGAGAAATGAAAAGAAAACGAGAAACTGCCGCTGATGGATCTTTGTGTGTGGTACTTGCAAGTTGCAACGTGAGTACATATGGATGGATGTGTGATCTGACTCGAGGGTTAGAGAATTCGTTCTTGAGCTGCCGTTTCAACCGGGATATGCTTGTTTTTTGATTGATTGATTGATGCGTCTGTACAAATCCGCCCGCAGTGATCTTCTTCCAAGGGGAAGTGGCATTATTTTATTTTATTTTATCTTCGGTTTTCGTTTCGAAATGCAAGTTGCTTCTTGCTCAAATGGCGTCCAATGCAGGTGGTTCACCACTTACTACTAATATGTGTACTGCTATTTTAGTGTCACGTTTGGCATGCTAACGTGCCCACGAATTGACACGGATACGATGATCTGGTGGTGGTATTAGTAGTACTGTTATGTCACGGTTGGGCGCACGCACTGCATCATCATCCTGCCGTCCTGCGCGGCGGGATAGTCGTGCTCTAGGTGTCGGCGAAGAAGCGGTAGACGCTGGCGTTGTGCAGGATCAATCTGACGGCGGCGGCGGAGGTGGCGAGACCGACGGCCGAGGAGACGACGATGACGCCCCAGTGCCAGAGCCTGCCCCATCTCCCGTCGCACTCCCCTTTGATCTTGAGGATGATCATGCTGGGGAACATGAAGGTGAGCGGGAAGAGCGCGAAGGAGCCGAAGAGGTTGACGAAGTCGCCCATGAAGGGGAAGAGCGCGGTGACGAAGACGTTGACCCCGAAGAGCAGCCCCCTGGCCAAGAGGCGGCGCGTCATGTTGTAGCGCGAGAACATGCCCTCCTCCAGCCTCTGCAGCCCCGTGTCCATGCCCTCGTGGATCGGCACCGTGAACAGCTGCACCGCCATCATCACCAACGTTACCTATGTAGTCATGTAGATTGAGCAGATGAGACGGATCGGTCGAGTTCACGTACGTGCTGCGAGACGATGCTCTGGAGGAAGGCGGTGGCGTTGATGAGCACGGAGGCCCAGCGCGGGCCGGAGAGCTGGTTGGGGAGGTACTCGGACGCGGCGGCGCCGTAGGCCCAGTACCCGGCCACGCTGATCCCGTAGTACCCGGCGGCCCCCACCGTGTACTGCAGCGCCAGCGCCCGCCGCATGTTGCCCACCGCCGGCTTCCGCAGCGTCGACTGGATCTCCGGGAGCAGGCCCGAGGTGTTGCACACCAGGATCGCCGCCACCGCGCCCAGCGCGTTGAACACCTTCTCCGCCTGCGTCCCGTGGACGGCGTAGTCGACCCGCCGCGAGTTCGACCGGCCGTCCCTGACGAGGACGGCGAGCAGCGCGACGTCGAAGGTGACGGTGAGCGCGGCGGAGGTGGCCAGCCAGTTCCTCATGGCGGAGATGGTGGGCACGAAGTAGGCGAAGGCGAAGTAGACGAACCCCGTCGCGGCGATGAACCACTGCAGCCGCGGAGGGGTCTGGGTGAACTCCGCGCTGATCGCCTGCAGGTGCAAAGCAACGGGCGCACGCACGCACGCACGTTGACTCAGGTTAGTTAATCGTGCAAGTTGCTGGTGCTAATGCTATTATGACTCATGATCAACCAATTGGAGGACAGTAATATTCTTGTGTGTGTATGGAAAATGTTACTACAGAGTAGTGATGGCTCCGTTACCTTGAGTGCTCTTCCGCCGAGCAGAATGAAGCCCATGCTTCCCAGGAGCAGGGTGGTGAACTGCAGGAACCAGGTGAGGTAGTACATTTTCCTCCCTTCACATGCACAACAAAGCTTTTAAGGACGTGTCGGATGCATTTCGTTTTCCATTATAATTACTCGCAAAGCTTTCAAGTCACTGAGTCAGCCTAGCTAGAACGCTTTTTCGAAAAGAAAAAAAGAGACTCTAGCTAGCTAGAACGGTAGCGTACCGAAGACGAAGCCCATGAGGTCCCTGTAGCGGATGAACCTCTGGCCGTCGACGACGTGGAGGCCGGCGAGCAGCCAGTTGGCGTACCAGGCGGCGGCGGCGAGGAGCAGCAGGCAGGCGGCGCCCCAGCCCCACCCCAGCGGCACCATCATCAGGTTGGAGAAGCTGAGCACATAGGCGCAGTTGAACCCCGTCACCAGCAGCAGCCCAACCTGCTGCCATGAATCTGCAACGCGCTCAGCACGCGGCATGCCATTGCCATGCCATGCATCTCGAGGTTAATCAGCAAGCACCTAGCAGCGCAGCAGACACGTACTACAAATTAAGACACGACGAACCTGTGTCTACTGCGTGGGCGGTGGCCGCCGTGGTGTACCCGCTGCTGTCGCCGCCGGCCTTGTGCTGTGCTCCGGCTCCCGCCTCCGTGTCCAGCGACGAGGAAGCCATTGCTTGATTCCGTACGTCGTCGAGCTGTGCTAAGCGAACCTGTTTGAACGAACCTAGGTAGGCAGGCAGGCAGGAGGAGAACCGGCGAAGGATATGGCCTAACAGCTCATATAAGCGCCCGGATATATAGACAAAGGAGTGAGGTCACAAACTAAAGGCCTCGTGATCATGCATGTCGTTTCCAGGGTCTAGTAAAGGTGCGCCACTAGAGTCGGCCTGCTCAGCGCGAGGACGTACGCACGTATCCGGTGCGCGAGTGCGTAGGCCCCTCCCCTAAAAACGACCTACGTGCAAAATCAAATCAAATCAGATTAAATCAAACTGCAAGTGGCAGCAAAATGTGATGTGATAGTATATATCTTATTAAACGTGATGCTCCTCCAGCAATGGATCAACACAAAAGCTTGGGATCTCGAACGTCGTTTAATTTATTTAATCGAGTGCCCGGGCAGGGGCAGCACGTGACGGAGCCTCCGTGGCATGTGGCGCTGCCCCCGACCGATCGGGCCGGGTGGCCGCGCAGCCATGGCGTGCGCCGTTTCGTTGTAACTTGCACCGTGCGTCGTCATGCAGTGCAGGCCACTTGCTGTGCCTCCATCGGTCGATCGGCGGCATGGTGTGCCCGGGCCTGTTCCGTTAGGCCGAAATGTCAGGGAAGTTGGGTGACGCGGGGCTCAACTGCTGTCTGCTGACCCATCGGCCGCCGCATCCAAAGCAGTCAAAGTCAAGCAGGCGCGCGCGACGGCGTGCGTTGGTGTTTTTTTTTTTTTGGTCAAGAGCAATGCTTTCTTTTTTTCCATGGGTCAAGAGCGATGCTATTCTCGTTCTTAATTTTTTTTTCCAAGGAACTATTCTCATTCTCTGTAAAGGAAGTGATCTAAACGCTCTTATATTTCTTTACAGAGTCACTTTCTTTAGAGAGGGAGTACTAGTTTTACAAAAGCCTTACGCATTAATTCCGCCTCTCACAGAACTTAAGTTTTTGTAAAACCAGTGGCTTTACGTGAAGTGGCAGGAATAGCATGTCTGAAAAGATAATATGCAGATGATCGAATGTATAGCTTTATTATTCAGTGTTATGTTACCCAACGAAGCATAAGGTCACTCCCAACTTACTAAAGGAATGCATGCGTAAAACAAAGAATTGAAAAACAGAAATTTTGCATACCTAGCTAGGTTTTTGATTCACAAAAACCTTATTGATGGACGTGGGTGGATTTTGGGCATTCCTTTTGCTGGACTACGTGTTTTACAGCTAATCACATAAGTACACAAAATTTCCGCGACTGCCCAAAGCAAGAGTTGATAACATGGTATCCATATCACGGATTCCCTATCAGAGCACTAGAATATGCTACGTACAAAAGCAACACCATTGAGATGTTATGTTACTCTCATCAATATATTCGATTATCTCACAGCAAAGCACATCACGCATGCCTTTTCAAAGAGGAAAATAAAGGAACGACATGGCGAGAGCTTTAATGTTCTCATTTAAACACAAACCGAACGAGATTTGATTGACGCAATGCAGCACTCGACCACCGGCCACTCACACAATCTAGGAGGCTTTCCCCGTCGATTCTTTATCCCGAGCCTTCCAGATGATCTGGCAGAGAAGGACCAAACACAAGGAATTGTCGCCAGTGTCGCAAAGTTGACCCGATATCTTTCGCGGACAGAAAGGCCTCCATCGCTGAAACTTTTGCAGAAACATTGAACAAGAGGCAATATGATAAAATGAGAAGGCGGAATCCCTTAACAGTGGAGTGGAACATCTGCAGGAGCTGACCAGGATTGATTTGCAATATGGCATGCAAAAAACAAAATCGTCACCAGTGCCATAGTGGTCAGTGCACTAGTTTCTGCAACTCTAGATAGCGGTTATGATGTCGCTTTTGATGCTACTCTGCTTCTAGGACTATCTTCATACAGGTACAATACAGATGTTGCACTGGCAAGAAGCTAATGTATTTCTTTCTACAAAGCACTACCACCACCTACACTGGATTATACTAAAACTAACCATAGTATAACCTGGACTATATCTTAAATGGACCGGCAGTTACTGTGCATGGAACATCTACCGAGGGGTGACCGTCCGATCTTGTTTTGCTTTTAACGCAGTTTCCACATAGTAGTACAGTCTCCACAAAGTTGTGTCATCCTAACGAAACGGAAGCAAGTGAAGAGATGGTGAATATAGTGCGCAATAAAGTAAATCAAATGGAGATATGCGAGACTAAAGCTTTTGCAAACAAGTAAATTTAATAGCAAAGTTAACACAAAACATGCTGTCATTTGAAGCCTGCATCTAACATAACACGGATACCTCTCATAATTTCATAAAGACAATAAAATTCCAAACATATCTACATGGCAGAATCATGGTTGGCGTAATAGTAAATCCCAAACCACAAGAACAGTTAGCATGACCAATGTATTTACTTAAAAGTAAAATTAAGTAGTAGGAACAGATAGGTTGAGTACCAGTCTTCCTAAGTTGAATGATACTTTATCAGAAACCGAGATTTCTTGTCTCCTCATTTTAACTACCTCCACCATGTGATCAAGTGACGTCTCTGGGAGTTTGCGGATGCGCCTACCAAGTTCAATCTTCTCAGGAGTGGTCATAGATCTGATAGTATGCAGCAATTCAATAAATTTCTCCATATAGTAGATGTATATACAATCTTGACAGTCAGCATAAGTAAGCATATCACTCAAATTGAGACAAGCGACATATGATACCTGCACTTGGATGCCACTGTGTCCAGTAAATTATAAACACCTTGCTCCATTTTAGCAAGCTGAAAAAAATGTCTCACTTAAATCCTTAGAATAACTCATGAAAAATATGTGTAAGATATTATTTGTCAAAGGATATTTCATAACCACATGCCATGTTGAATACCTTCCGCAGCAACCCATCGGAGAACATCTCTGCAGCCTCTTGACGTGTTTTGCCACTTTCTTCTATCAGCCGGATATCTCTTGTGAGCTGCCAGAAGCAAAAGCCTCATCTGTTAGGCTGCTACTGCTTTGGCAATTTCTGAAGATGTTCTTATAATGGAACCCCTGGTTTGGTAGATAGCCTAACTTGACATTATTCTCACATCATTTGACATGAAAGACCAACAAACAAAACCGGTCACCTATTTTTTCGGCAGGATTATGGTTGGTTATTGCAAGTGGGTACAATAAGTATTTAAGTTTCCCCTCACAAAAATGGCAACAAAATTACATCCACTATTTGCATTAATGGGCCATCCGATTCTTTAAAAGGTAGCTGGGATGAGGGTATTCTCCTTAATCTTCCATTTTTCAAAGATTTACTGTTGGATTGGCTGAACGAAACGCCTAAGCATAACAGTTAGGTATAGAAAAAAGATTCTTCACCTGTGCAAAGATATCTGAATCAATATGACCATGTGATTCTTCATAAGCATCGATTGTAGAAACTGTCACAGTTTTCTGTTTTTTAACACTTGGTGGGGCGAAACCATCCTCATACGATCTGCTTCCATGGATTGATGGCAACTTCTCAGACCTAAATTCAGATAGTGCGAAAATGTAACCAAATATCTGCAGCCAATTATAGATATTAGACAAATCACAGCAGTTCTGCCTGACCAATATCAAAGAATCTTAAATTAATAACTATAGCACTGCAACTTCAGAAGCTTATGTAGACAGATAGATCGAGAACCCTTAAAAGATGGGAGTAAAAAGAAATAACAAACTACTAGGTTCGACATGGCTGAAATATGACTATCGATACTAGGTCTATTTTATCATGGACTGCCCAACGACCCAACTAACAGAAGAGGATTATCGTGGGCCGGCCCAACCGCCTAACTAACAGAAAAAGGTTAGTCCTTCCTGGGGAGTCCAAGAGGACATGATCCTGAGTATCCAGAATCTTCTCAAGTCTCGACTAGAATGGTCTAGAGCTGTTATATCACTATTGGCTTCACAGCTCACACAGCCAAGTGTTTGTGCTTATAAATATGGGAAACGCTTGTGTTCACCCGGCTGATCTCCCCGCACGCGTCGACCGCCTCTGCAACTGCCCAATCCAATTTTGATCGTACAGCGCACAACGCAACACAAACTGACTAGCCGGTTTTGCAACATAGGCCTTATTGCAAACATAGGTTGTGCAACACGATGGTTGTTGCGGTCAAACCACATGACCCCTTATCCTCGCACGAGCAACGACAGCCACATATTCCTTTCCTCTATTTCTTCTCCATCATCGACTCTTCCCAAATTGTTCGTTCGCCGCCTCCCCAACCCGTGCGCCGGCTCCGGCGAGTACACCGACGAGCCAAGCCTACCTGCTCGTGTCCCTCCTATTCCCCTCCCTCTTCTTTGCAACAATGGCGGCGAACGACGACTGTGTGACACGACTACGTTTCCCGACGATGGAAACGGCCGCGAGAAAGTGCCTGTTGTAGTTGTGACAATGCTCATGTTGCAAAAGGGTCATGTTACAGCCTCATAAATAAAGTTTTGCAAAAACGGCATGTTTGCAATTGCAACAAGGGCCCTGATGCAATTGTAACTAGGCTCTTGTTGCAAAAGGGTCTACTTATAGCCTCGCAAAAAAAGTCATGTTTGTAATTGCAACAACCCTATAGGAATTGTAACAAGGGGTCATGTTGCAGTGGGGAAACAAAGAAGAGGGATCATACACATCATAGATCGGACGACTCATGACCCGACCAATCTTTTAAAAAGATCAATGGGCGACGCGTAGCACACCCTTATAAATATGTGCTGACCTTGCTACTTGCACTCGTTGCCTCTTTTTAATCTAGTGAGCACATAGTACTAGTATATAGCAGTATAGCTCTATCAGTAAAAATTGAGCCATATGTGTAAAGTTGCTAGTTTGCTAAATGACATGGAATATACATGAACTATTGTGTCTGTTTTCTTTCAATATAAATTATATATTTTGCATGCTTGTGCTTTTTCTTGGATTTCAAGCAGAA